TCTGATAAATCTTCTGGAAAAGGCTGTTAATTTTCCAGGAAAATAATCATGTGAAAGAATTTTAACTGCTGCAAGAATTTTTGTAATGATTTTTTTTGTTTAGAGAAGTACATATCAGAATCTTGTTTTGCTATTCTTTCTCGGTAAAAATGAAAAGAGTTTTCTATTTTTCAGCTAAAATTAAAATGTGAACATGAATTTTAGAAAGAAGAATCAATAATTGAATGATGGCTCATCTAATTAGACGTGTCGCTCGTTTAGTTGAAACCAGACGTTGATTAATATTAGTAGGTTTGAACGACATGTAAATGGTTCCAGCTTCTAAATAATCCAATCCAAAAATTATAGACCAAAGAAAGAGAAAAATGGCCACTTGTGGCGGCTAATATTTGAGGGCCCTTAATTATATATCTAGTCAATAATTCAATAAATATGCATAATGATTTGTAGTTAAAAGCTTAACCATCATTGTGAGATTGAAGAAGACTATTCAATTTCAATTATAAAAAGAACTCCAAAAAGATATAATTTTTTGTTTTCATTAGGGTAAAGTTATGGATCTACCTCATGTCGGTGTGGAGTGCGGACGCATCCAAATGCACATGTATTTGTCAATAAGCTCAATGCTTATTAAAAAACATTGTATTTTTGGATCCCACATATGTAAACTCCCATAAATTATTCTGCTGTGAATTATCATCCTGGCAAATCTCTGGATCTTGATTCTTGAGACGTCTCAATGAAGAGGCCCTCTTAAGAGACTGAGTCAAAGCAGACAACAAACACAAATTGCCTAACCTCTTATCATCAAGATTGTGTCAGAATCAATCAGCCAGAGTTCCAAATCTTAACAACTCTTCTTGATTTTGAAATATGAGTTTCTTATCAATGACACCAAAATACTTACAAGTTATACAAGACAATGTGGTTTGCATGAAGAACACAATGAACTTTGTTATGCATAGATCAGGTCTTGTCTTCTTTCTGAAGCATGAAGAGACCACTTATCATCAATTTGCAATCTCATTTGCAACAACAGTCTAGCTATTGTAAAGAACTCATTAGCCTCTCTTTACAGGAGCAGTTAGTTTAACAGTCTTCATGATATGTTCGATTCTCTCGACGGATTCGTGCATATTCTTCTTCTTGACCTCTTCCAAGAGCAACAAACAAGTCCGGTGCCTCGGCGTGATATCTTGGCTAATCATCTCTTCGAAAAGGCAATACGCCCACTCGCATATATTAGCTCTGCAGAACCTCTGTATCAGAAAAGTATAAGTCGATTCATCGAGGCTTAGTTGATGTTTAGTCACCATTTCTTTCAATAATCTCCCAACCTCAACAACATCTCCTCTCTTAAAACAAGATCTCAGCAACGGATGATACGTATGAACATCGGGATTACAAAGCTTCGAACTTTCCATTTCCTTGAGCAGCTCAACCCCCTTATCTTCCTCGTCGTGATGGCAATACATAGCAATCATGGAGTTATAGGTAGATGTATTAATCGAAACACCAAGCTCAGGCATCTCAACTCTGAAAACCCGCTCAGCTTCTTCTAACTGACCAGCTCGAGCAAGCGTGTGTATCAAACAGTTGTAGAAAAGAGTATCGGGTACACAACCGGATCTCTTCATTCTTGCAGCTACTCGCAAAGACTCCTCAAACTCTTTCTGAGCATTAAGAGAAGACATTATAGTCGTGTAAGTAACAGAATTCGGAGGAGATCCATTAGCTTCCATTTCACTTAGCATCTCATAGACCTTGATAAACTCAGATTGTTGGCAATAACACCTTATAATCGTCGTATAGCTAATAACACAAGGACGAAAACCGTGACCTTTCATCTCTTGGATCGTCCAAAGAGCTTCCTCGACTCTATTCGCCTTACACCAACCGTGAATGAAGATATTAAACGTATACACATCCGGTGTAATGTGTGACTTAAGCTCCAACAAAATCGCTCGAGCCTGTTCCACTCTTTTCTCCTTACAAAGCGTATCGAGCAGTAAATTCATCGATTCCGTGTTCTTCTCCAAACCAAACTCACCTAATCTATCAAATACTTTGACAGCTTCTTCCCATTCCCCTGCACCAGCAAATCTCCTCATGATCTTAGCAATTGTATTCAAGGTGACAACTTTATCTCCTCTCATTCTCTCCACAAACTCATTCATTCGATCCCATTTCTTCGCCTTTCCGAGTATATCCACCGCCATATCATAACAATCACTCGAATGTTTGTGCCCTTTACAAGATTCAGCCCATTTCAAAACACCAAGCGCAGATTTCCAATCATCTCTAAACCTATGAAGCAACTTATGAACTAAACCATCAGAGAGATTTACTCTGTTACATATCTCATCGTTTGATAGACGATGAAAAACCTCTTCTTCACTGACTCTATCACCGACACTACCTACAATAACATTCCATATTTCTTCCGAGTGTGAAGATTCATCAAGGGTTTCAGGTAATCGTTCCGAAACTGTAGAGAGATTCTCGATAAACCGAGAGGAAAGAGCGATAGAAGCCGAAGGTTTAAGGCGTAACCAAGTGTTTCGAATGCTATTTTGAACAAGCCAAGACATCGTTAAAGACCAGAAATCTAAAACCCAGAATAGTGTTCTTCAATTGCAACCACGGGAAAGAAAGGAAAAAAAAAACTGAACTCAAGCTCTGGTACCTGAAAGGTGTGCAAAATGGTGGAAACGGCGACGACGCCGGAGAGATTTGACGAGAAGTAACTCGAAGGGGTTTTTTTGTAGGCCCCCAAGTAAAATACAGTGGGCCGTTTTAAAGCCCAAACTATATATTTAGAGGCTACGCAGCAGTTTTTGACTTTTGAAACTACAAGCGGTACTAAAGAAAAACTACGCGCACCACTCGCACGTGTTTCCCACCGCCCATACTCAATTCATTGGCTACTCTAAAAAAATTGGCATGTTACAAAACCACCTAATGTGTTACCGGTACGACAAAAACCGATAGTTCATCGAAAGATCCTCTGATCAGATTACAAAATTTTGGTCTCACAATGACAACACCTATAGTTAACATCTAAGAACTTTTAAACGTATCCAGTATCCCCAGCCATAAAAAATTTCGATGATCAGGTCAAGTAACTGCAACTGTAGAATGCTGTCTCATCAAACCCTCAGAATAAGCATTGAATTTGTTTGAAGTCTAAAATGGCATCCACTTTATTCAGTTACTTGGAACTGCTGTGGAAAATCATCTTACAAAGAGTACTTCGAACCGTTGTGTAAAATGTCAAAAGAAAATTACTCTTTGGGTTTACAAAGAGTACAATTGGTGAAAATTGAGCACTGAATTATGCATCCATAACAAGATTAGGGTTCAAATTCGATTTTGCTCATGTTTGGTTAAGAAGAGAAGTGGGTCAAATCTGAAAAACCATAACTCAAATATATCAAAAGCCAGACATAAGGGCTCAAATATCGGGTCTACAAACTCCCATCACCTCACATGAATGAGAATAGAGAAAAACCAAAAACAAAGCTCCCAAGTTCAAAGAAAATTTATTCGAAAAAGCAACAATTTCAGAGCATAAAAAGGGATGAAAATATGAGTTTCCGCTCCCCATCACTCGAGATATGCTTCTTAGCTTTAAGCCTTTGACATGTGAACGATCAAGTCGACCACACGGGTACTGTAACCCCATTCATTGTCATACCACGACACAAGCTTGACGAAGTTGTCACTCAATGCAATTCCAGCCTTAGCGTCAAAAATGCTCGACCTGCACAACACATACAACATAATCGTTTTTAGTTCCAAACCATAGAGAGCGAAAATTTAAGTGATCATGATGCTAAACAGATTGATTTATTACCTGCTGTCACCAACAAAGTCAGTTGAGACAACATCATCCTCGGTGTAACCAAGGATTCCCTTTAGTTTGCCTTCAGATTCCTCCCTGTGAGTATTGGTAACATCAGTTAGTTGTTTTACAAAGCAAGCAATATAAAAATATTGGAGCAAGGAAATGGAACCGAAAGCTTACTTGATGGCCTTCTTGATTTCGTCGTAGGTTGCAGCTTTCTCGAGTCTAACAGTGAGGTCAACAACTGAAACATCAACGGTGGGGACACGGAAGGACATTCCGGTCAACTTTCCGTTAAGCTGTGGAAGCACCTTTCCGACAGCCTTGGCAGCTCCTGTGCTGCTGGGAATGATGTTGAATGAAGCAGCTCTTCCACCTCTCCAGTCCTTCATTGATGGACCATCAACAGTCTTCTGGGTAGCTGAAATCGTAGATCAAACCTTATTAAGTCAGAGTTCCCTCTTAATAGGCAACTAGTTTTGTAATAAGCAAGATTTATGAAATTTACCAGTGATAGAGTGGACAGTAGTCATAAGACCCTCAACAATTCCAAATCTGTCGTTGATAACCTGCAGGAAGAAACCCAGTAGAGTTAAGGAATACAATTCATTTCGGAATTCGAAATACACAGTTAAATCGATTTATAGGGTACTGAAGTATTTTACCTTGGCAAGGGGAGCAAGACAGTTAGTGGTGCAACTAGCGTTGGAGACGATGTCAAGGTCAGACTTGTACTCGTGCTCGTTGACACCAACAACAAACATGGGAGCGTCCTTACTTGGTGCAGAAATGACAACCTTCTTGGCACCACCCTGAACAACAGATCACCAATCCATTTAGTTGAAGATCACAAGACAGCTAATATACAGAACCATTATGCTTAATACTAGTATCCAACAAGCTATAGCACAACATCTATATGGATCCTATGCATAATGGTATATATTATCCAACGCGAACCTTCAAGTGAGCAGCAGCTTTGTCCTTGTCGGTGAAGACACCGGTAGACTCAACAACGAAGTCAGCACCAGCCTCACCCCATGGGATATCCTCAGGGTTCCTTCACAAGTACAAATCATTCATGAGATTCAAATTCTGACAACAAATAATCACATAAAAGAGAATAGATCTGAAGATGTACCTGATGCCGAAAACAGTGACTGGCTTCTCACCGAAGAGAAGAGTCTTCTCATCCTTAACCTTGAGTTCATGGTGTTTCCATTGTCCGTGAACACTGTCGTACTTGAACATGTAGGTCTGCAGCACCGAGAGTAATCAATTAAGTTGCTCAAACTCGACTCAAGTCATAAGAAACAGTACCATCGATAACATTATAGAGACACCAACACAATCGTGGGGTCCAAAATTGATCTGATCAGCTAATCAACTTGAAAAAACAAGCTAAACCAGTTTGTGGGACTGAGTACTAAATAAATAAATCAAACTACACACTGAAAACACGCGTGCATAAACGTAACGATATTGATATGATCCAGTTTTGCAAAATCCAACGAAATCAAACCGACCAACAAATCGAAAACAATCCAAAATCGAATCACAGTCGGAAGTAAGAAAACAAACCATGTACTCAGTGGTGATGAAAGGATCGTTGACAGCGACGAGCTCAACATCGTCCCTCTGAAGAACAACTCTAGCAACCAAACGACCGATTCTTCCGAATCCTATCGATTACAGAAACCAAAAAACGTGAGATTCCTTAGATCTAGATAACACGAAAACGAGCAAACCTAATTCAAAAACAAAATCGAATCAAATACTCACCGTTGATACCGATCTTGATCTTACCGCCGGCTACAAACAAAAAAAAAACACAAAAACGAAGACGATCAGATCAAAAAACGCAACATCGTAAGCAACGTCACGACGAGAGAGAAGATCAAAGATGATAAATCAATTAAAAAGCGAAGAGACTCACTCATCGTCTAATCAAATACGT